ATAACTTCATGGCTTTTGTAGCTGAAAATATGCTTAAGAAATTAAGTGCCGAAAAACAGATGCTTCACAGCTGAACATTTTGATACCTGAAATAGCTGAAAGTATGCTGAAGTAGAATTTCCCCATTCAGTTGAATGGGAAAAGCCATTCAGGTATCAAAATGTTCAGCTATTTAAGGACTTCCTGCTTGTATTTTTCTTGTTTGTAACATTTATACTTTTTAAAATATTTACTTTTCTTTTAGCAAATTTTGCCCCATTCAATGAATGGAAATTTTTTTTCACATTTTAATAAATACAGCATACTAAAAACATCATTTCAGCTATTTCCTATTCAGCATGTCTTCAGCTATTCATAATTTAAATTTTTTTTGCATGATGACATTTACATTTTATGCCTCATTTCAATAGCCACAGCCTAGTAGTCCGCAGAGTGTACGACTACTCTAACACACACACACACACACACACGCACACACATGACCCTACTTACTCAGCTGAAAACCACAATGTTTTCTTCTATTTTCACTTAATAAAATCATTGTTCAGTTCAGGCTGCTCAAAACATCCACAATAATATCCTTTTCCTGTGCTGTCCATTTTGAATACGTGGTGTTATTTACAAATTCCGATGGGTTTGATTAATTTCAAAAGGAATATAATAGAAGATATAAACAACATTCCTTCATTTAGTCAGCTAACATTAGGGAATAAATAGTACTTTTCAGTGTCATTCTGCTTTGCACTTATGCCTGTATATATCCTTATGCATTGAACACTAATGAAAAGTATGGTTCTTCCAGTTCTGAGTCCTTTATAAATGTGTACTACAGAAACACACTCTTTACTTTTTGTACAGTTTGCTTGTGTGGACGGCTGACACATGTTGAGTAGAATGCATTTTGAATCACTGAGTTGCTGAACAATAGAGGCATCTGAATGCTAAGCAGTGCTCATCAGAGGTAGGGAAACATTTCAGTGAAGTACTCCTACTTCATGAGTTGTTTTATATTGAGGTAAAACAGTGTTTTATGGGTCTGCATGATAAAAACAAAAGTCAAATCACATCTGTGGAGCTTTATATAATATGTACCTGCCTGCAGACATCACTGCAGAAGGCCTAATGAACCAGCAGAGGGCAGTTCAAACCGCAAGAGTTTTTTTTTTGTGTGTGGCTAAAAGGTGCTAGACAGCAAGACAACCTCCTTATAGAATATTACATACACCTGCCGCTGTTAGTCCAAATAATTGTGATTCAAATGTTAATGACTACTTGGCCCCAAATATTGACCACTACATGATATATTGAGCTACATGATATCAGTCAACCTGCATTAAAACTAAAATGTTGGTACTTTAAGTATATTTTGTTAATCGTTTTACTTAAGTAACATTTTGAATGCAGAACTTTTTCTTGTTAGAGTATTTTACACTGTTGAAATTGCTGCTTTTACTGAAGGATCTGGGTACTTCTTCCACCACTGCCAGTATCCCACGTCAGTCTGATGAGGCAGAGTCAACTCGTGCACTTATTTTATTATGAAAACTAGAAACTGGAACATAATAAAATTTTGCTAGCTTTATCCTGCTAAGGAAGCACCACCGTGACACTTTCTCCTGATCTAGGAAAGCCACAACTGTAATAGCCTACTTAGTTAATAAGAACTAAAACATTTACTGAAGGTCGTGGGGCCCACAGACTGAACATGTAGGAGTTCCTGTATGTGAAACGGAACTTCCCAAAGAAAGCCCAGTGCAACGACAGCTTATAATATCCCTCTTGCAGACTCCTCCTACTGAGTTGTCCTGGGAAACACTAACAACTAGAAGAAAGTGTAGACAGTTGTCCTGTTTTTAAACGTCGAAACTAGTAGGACAGCCACACCGCCGCTTATCCATTTCACTCTACCGTTCAAACCTTTTAAAAGGACATTTCGGCCCAGTACTACACAGCGGATCCATCTATTAGGCCGACTATTATGCTTCCGAAAGCTGCTGCTCCTTCACACTGACTTTCATCAGCTTGAGGTAAGAAGGGCCATTTACAGCGTGGCCCGTTATTTACATAGACTATTTAGAATGGAGTCCGGGGTTACTTTGTATCTTTCAGTGGCGTTTTACGTTGAGAGAAGCTGTTTAATGGCTGCGGGTTTAACTTGTTGCTTGGTAGCCATGACATCCTCATTTAGAGACTGCAGGGCTAATGTGGGAGCTTCTCACGTTTCTGTGAACTCAGCCACAGCGAGGACGAACTCCCCCCATAGAAATGTAAAATGATACTAAACAAAAGCAGCGAAAGTGTCGTATACATCAAGCTATAGGTTAAAAGTACGTGTTAACAATATAACATTAAGTACTCTCACATCACTAAAGCTAGTTACCACGAAAGACATTAAGGCCGTTAACCAACATTCAGTAGAAGACACTGAGCATAATTAAACGAGAAATGGAAAATGTATGTACTATAAACATTCCCTGTCTTAGGTCAGTTAGAACCACTACCTTATTTTAAGTATGTGAAATGCCAAAATAATAGTAGAGAAAAAGATTTATTTTGGCTTTTATTTCTTTCATCACATTCCCAGTGGGTCAGAAATTTAGTACACTTGGTCAGTATTTGGTAGCATTGCCTTTAAATTGTTTAACTTGGGTTAAACTTTACAGGACACCCTTCACAAGCTTCTAACAATAAGTTGCTGGAATTTTAGTCAATTCCTTCCAGATAGAACGGCTGGAGTTGGGCTTGTAGGTCTCCTTGTTCGCCCAAGCTTTTTCAGTTCTTCCCACATATTTTCTACTGGATAGAAAGTCAGGGCTTTGTAGCCACACCAGTACCTTGACTTTATTGTCCTTAAGCCACTTTGCCACAACTGGAAGTCTACTTGGGGTCATTGTCCATTTGGAAGACCAGTTTGAGACCAAGCTTTAACTTCCTGGCTGATGTCTTGAGATATTGCTTCAGTAGATCCACATAATCTTCCTTCCTCATGATGCCATCTATTTGGTGCAGTGACCCAGTCCCTCCTGCAGCAAAGCCCCCCCTCCCCCCCCCACACACAACATGATATCACCCCGTGCTTCATGGTTGGGATGGTGTTCTTTGGCTTGCGGCCTTCTCCTTTTTTCTCCAGACATGGTCAAACAGTTCAATTTTTGTTTACTCAAACCAGAGGACATTTCTCCAAAAAGTCAGATCTTTGACCCCATGTGCAGCTGCAAACCATAATCTGCCTTTTTTTATGGTGGTCCTGGAGCAGTGGCTTCTTCCTTGCTGAGCAGCCTTTCAGGTTATGTCAATATCAGACTTGTTTTACTGTGGATATAGATACTGTTGTGCCTGTTTCCTCCAGTGTCCTCACAATGTCCCCTGCTGTTGTTCTGGGATTGATTTGTACTGTTCAGGCCAAAGTACGTTAATCTCTAGGAGACAGAACTCCTTCCTGAGTGGTGTGATGGTTGTGTTGTCCCATGGTGTTTATACTTGTGTAGTATTATTTATACAGATGAACGTGGTACCTTCAGGAATTTGCTCCAAAGGATGAACCAGACTTGTGGAGGTCCACAATTTTTTTTTCTGAGGTTTTGGCTGATTTCTTTTGATTTTCCCTGATATCAAACGAAGAGGGTTGGCCTTAAAATACATCCACAGGTGCACCTCCTATTGACTCAGTCGATGTCAATTAGCCTATCAGAAACTTTTAAAGCCACATCATCATTTTCTGGAATTTTCTACGCTGTTTAAAGGCACAGTCAAATGAGTGTATGTAAACATATGATCTACTGGAATTGTGATACAGTGACTTATAAGTGAAATAATCTATCTGTAAACAACTGTTGGAAAAATTACTTGTCATGCATAAAGTACATATCTTAAACTGACTTGCCAAAACGAGAGTTTAACATGACATCTGTGGGGTGGTTAAAAAAATCCATTTTAATGACTTCAACCTAAGACTACGTTCACACTGCAGGTCTTAATGCTCAGATCGGATTTTTTGCCGAAATCCGATTTTTTTGCGATGGATGGATGTGGCTCGTGATAGCATGTGCGTAGCGATGTACCAGTTAATGTGCAATCGAAATAAAGAAATAATAATAAGAAGAATATCAAGAAGAAGGAGAGCACAAATATTGCTTATGGCCTCGCCTCCTCCAGCGCAGAATTGTGACGTCTGTCGCATTTCAATGACCATAAAAATCGCATGAAATGCGACATGGCCGTTCAGACTGTAGTTGCATTGCAAAACATCAGATATGTATCCGATTTAGGACCACATACGAAAGTGGCCTGGGCCGGATTTGAAAAAATCGGATTTGTGCTGTTCACACCGTCATAAGGAAATCGGATATGGGTCACATTTGGGCAAAAAGATCGGATTTGAGCCATTTTAGCCTGCAGTGTGAACGTGGCCTTAGTGTATGTAAACCTTTGACTTCAACTGTATTGCACAAGGAGCCACAAATCACACTGTATTGATCAGTGTAGCTATAATAAAAGTACAGTTTTTATTTCATAAGACAAAACTACTTTTTACAACTGCAGTATAATGATGGCGCTCAGCCTAAAGTTTCTGTAACTTACAAAAATATTACACTGACAACATCCCAAACAAAACTTTGGTCTCAAATTGTGAACTTTTTAAGACCTAAACATTTTTTAAAGATGGCGATTATAGTATTAAATGCAATTTGAAAGTGTAGACTTCTCAGCTCATTGAGGAGACAAATTAATAAGGTAATAGGTTTTAACACAGTGATGTAAATGTATGTAAAATGGGTTTAGTTTTGAAATGCTAAATATAAGCAGTGGTTATAAGTGTGGTTATCTTTTATAAGGAACTCATAATGTGTGAAAGGAATAGTTCCAACATTTTGGGATATCCAGTTTATCTCTCTCTGGTGGAGAGTTAGATGAGATGAATGCCACCCCTGTATCTTTTCATTAACCACAAGGAGGAAGCCAGCAGCAAGTTAACTTAGCTTACAACTGTAAAAATGGCAGTTTGTCATTTTATGAGGAATTATGTGGCAGACTTGTATTTATTCTAATTGAATCTAATTCTTATCAATTCTAGACTTAAATATTAACAGACATATGACTGTGGTATCAATCCTTTCTTCTAACTCGCTGCCAAAAATATATTTCCCAAAATATCTGAATGGGCCATTCTGTTGTCAGAGCAGGTGGTGCTTTTGTTCACACAAGAAATGTGTAATTTTTGTAATGACAGTCTTCTTAATACATATGAACCAATTTCATCCCATAATACGTTATCAGTGCCTTCTGTCTGATGCTATTAATCAGAGTGATGCAGCAGTAGACCATGCTGTAAACATCTATCTATAGATACATTTTTAATAAGACTATCAGAAAGTGACTGCACTATGCTTCCACTAAACAAAAGCTTATTAGACTGCTTTGTATGTGTCTCCCAGCAAACCTCGGCCCAGTCAGAAATATGTATTTAGCTCCAGTAAAAAAGATAAATGATAGAGGAGTTGCCCTCACATTTAGAATACTGTAAATTACCAAGAGGATTCTGCTGTCTCCAAGCTGAACTGAGCCAAATTCTCATTTTCACAAACCCCCTAATTTAATGATGATGGATCCACACAGTGTCAACCATGTAATTACACTGTATTTACTATAGAATGGAAGCATTTGAGGAAGTCTAACAGGTACTAGTTTATGATGTAGTGCTGTCTCAGGAATGGGTTTTATATGCCTGGGAGGGTGGGGGTGACTGCTGAATTCCCTGCTGATAGTCACAATAAAGCCTTGACTTAGTTTTTGTTGAGACTGGAATTGCTGGAATCCTCTTGGCATGCCAAATGGCAGCCGTACTCCCTGTTCCAAAACAGCAAACATCTCTGTGGTTTGTCCAAACTCTGTGCCCTGGTTTGGAGTTTCTTTTCTCCTGGAAATTGTCAAGCACACTTAATTTTTAATTGTATGGATGCTGATTCAGCATCCATACTATATTATCCTGTTCTTTATTATTTTTGTATGGATGCTGAAAAGCATCCATACCTTGTTTTCCAAATTTTTATTATTATTATTAGCATCCATACTATGTTTTCCAATTATTTCTTTATTATTATTATTATTATTATTGTAAGGATGCTGAGTCAGCATCCATACAACAATAATAATAATAAATAAAGAAATAATTGGAAAACATAATATGGATGCTAAAAACAATAAT